AAGTGCCTACTTCCAATTTGATAGTAGGCATTATCTGAAATTATCAAAACCTATTTGTAGCTGTCTGTTATCAGTGTACAGGAAGTTTACCCTGTAATTCTGCTGAAAAAGCGGTGTTCACCACAATAAGCTTTTATTGCAAGTTAGAAGACAGGGGGTTGTGTATTTCCAGCGGCGGCTTCTTGGCTCTCGAAGGGAATAAAAACAATAACCATTCGAACCCACTCCAGATCTGTTTGATAATTTTGTACAGTGTCAAACATCAAGAGATATCTAGGCTATTTCTGTCCAAAACAGGCCAGAATATCTCGTCCATACTCTTCTACTTATTCAGAAGGCTTTCTCTGTGCTTGTATAAATTTTGTTAGCGTAATCAGTCTTAGCACAACGTGAAAAACCTGCAGCGGAAACAAGTGCCCCTCGAACATTTATTTAAAATGTCCAGAACATGTATATAAGCTAGAATTCGGTAGCGGCCGCTGGAAGCATGTCCATAGTAAGACAACAATCTGAAGTGTCGTTAATCGAACAAAATAAGTAAAATAGATGCGCACTTTTAATATTGATAAGATGAGTGCTAAGTGAGATCTTTTTCTCCAAGCTGAATTCATGAGGCCTTAGTGCTTACTCGCCTTGTGACTTCATATGTACTTGACTGACTTCTCGGTCCCCCTGGTTCCATCTCAAGGTTGGTTCGCAGTGATTGTTTTATCACGTTTCCTTTGTGTCTCTCAGGAATCTAATGAATTTCTCTCCAGGACAAATGTGTTCGCTAGCATATCTGCAAGGATCCCCAATAGTTACTAATTTTGACGCCAATTTAATCGAATATTACTACTACTAAAATTATACAAGTAATGCTAATTTAAACCCCAAAAGGCCCGCGCTACATTTCTGGAGGAGCAAATGGACAAAAGCGATCTTCTCGCCGCTGCTGCCTCCACCGTGGCCTCTCTCACCAAATATTCCAACGGCGAGGGTTCTGATGTACCTACTCAGGTTGATGCGCAATCACAGGGCAATCATACTGAAATCCCCACTGCTCCAGCTTCGGCACTCCTCTTGGGGATTACTGCGCTGAGTGAGGAGGACAATTATGACTGAACCCCCCTCTCCCCATCTCCAGTTTTCCCTTGTTGCATTGATCCTCCCCATCTACTGCTCTGTCCTCTTTCGTCTGCCTGGGGCTCTGGGTCTCCCCAGAGGTGTCTGTACTTGCCTGAAGGTCCTTTTAATATAAGCCTCTGACAATGTGTTTTGGCGGCCATCTGTAAACAAAATTCTCCACCACGGAATCTGTCTTCTGTGCTGCCTCATGAAACATTTTCTGAGGATGCCTAGGTAATGTCTATATGGGCTAGAACCTCGGCGTGTGGACCGAAAACATTCATGATTCTGGATCACCCATCTCCAAGTGAATGAGTCAACTCGGAATAATCCCGTTTTCGTGGGTCTTCGGAAGCGCGTAGAGTCGAGCTGTTGTCACACGTCCATGACACTTCGACCGTCGGTTTCGACGATATCCGCGGCGTGCAAGCTGAAGGCAATCGTGGTGTTATAGCCCAGTTTTTTGAAGCCGCCTTGTAGGCAGAGGAAGGC